ACGAGAAGTTATTCAATGTCCTAAGCAACAGAGGCAGGGTTCGGTTCTGGGATTCCAAACTCCCGCACACAAGTTGTATCGCATAGTACCTAGGCATCGCGCTGGTGGCATATATAAGAGCTCGTCTGCCGGTCCCTTCTTATTCCGTGTCCGGTCTCCGTCAAGAGAGGTGTCAAGTGACGAGTCTTTGGTGCCTTAAAAAGTCGAGTGCTTCTCTACGGGTCTTAAGAGACTTTTGCGACTGCTGCTCCAAGCCTGCATGATCGCTACTGGATACACGTGATTCTTCATTATGAAGGTTAGCCAAGTTTTAAATTCTAGCGCGTTAATAGCAAAATTTTCAGTTTTGCGCTATTCAAAATAAAATGAATGCAGAGAATATACCGTAAGAATGTGTTCAAATTCAAATTTACCACACGAAAGGCAACGTGTCATTGGTCCGTCCATACCAATTTTACCACTAATAAAATAATTATAACTATTATTTTAATTATTAGTAATTTCTAAAACCTGGGAAAATATGATGAAAATTTCATCCTCGGCCAATTTTCGCTAAGGAGTTGATGTGGAATTGAATTTGAACAACAATAAGTGTGTTTTATCTAATTTTTGTAAAATTTAACTCCTTGATTTTTTTAAGATATAAAGTTTTGAGACGCCTTCTATTATAAAATATTAATTATGTAAACTCTATTTTTTCGCTTGGATGTCTGAATTAGATTACATTTTTTCTACTCAGGTCCACAGATCTTTCTATTTATCGTCAATGCCATTTTCAGGTCTACCCTAACGGCAAGCATTTCATCTTAATGTCAAAAAGTTACTGAATATTTTCAAATTCAACGCCCCATAAGAAAAACAGAGTGCGCACACTCTCAACTTTTTAAAATACATTGTAGCTCGTATGCAGACCACGCTCTTTTAATTTTATAGTTTTAGGAAATATTTTTTCCGGTAACTAACACATACACATTTCAAATGGAACTTTCGAAATTTATTCCGTCGTATTAAAATCTTTTTAGCAACCCAATCAGCATGAGCTTTTCAAATAAAGCTACTAATGGGTATTTGTCAGTTTTTGAATTTGAATTGAATTCGAAAGTTTTCTTGTTCTCTTTCATTTCATCGTCTTTTGATTAAGATGTCACTTACTGACAACAATTAATATTATTCTTAGCTGATTGATATTACTTTAAAATCAATGAATATTGACATTAAACTGAAAATAAATGAGGCTAATCTCAATTTCTAAAAATACTCAATCTACAAAAAAAAATATACATACACTGCATGCTAAGTTATGACGTCGGTTTGCTATGGTGTGCATGGTGAGTGCCTCTCGGCATACAGATAGAAAGCAGAAATCGTGGAAAGCAAAAATACTCTCATCAACTATGGATCAGCCAAACCTATAATGCCTATCCATATGGCAAGTTATATTTACTGACTTGATCTACTTGTCATATGAAACAACTCTTATTCCTGATAGCTTTCTTACGACGTCCACTACCCGCACCAAAAGATCTGAATCCATTCGTCGAGTGTTGTTTTTTCGTTCAGAAGATGGGACGACGCACGTACGCCGTCTTAAGTACGAGGTCGTTGCTGAAGTGAGCGGGAAGTTAGGCCGTTCACATACAAGATCAAAATGAGAAATGATAATGAAAAAATACTGACCTGACAATCTCTTAAAAGAGAAGGTATGTCGAGGAAAGCTGATTTCATATTCTGCCAGTATCTCATACAGGGAATTTAATTTTAGGAAAAGCTTTAGTAATCATTTATGAAGTGTATGAACCGTTTCCAAAATAATACCAGAAACTGGGAGGTTTGTTTTAAAAATTATTATTGAATTGAGAATTCTAATAATTGACTATAAATAAAAAAGCCACTGAATTTTCTAACAAAAAAATGTCACTATTTAAAAATCCAGCAGCCTCAGTTAAAAGAGAAACTACACAATGGATGACAAAATCTAATTTTTTGCAGGAATGGCACATATAGGGTATTGCTTTAATTTATTAATTGCATCTCAACAGTACTATATAATGAAGATGAGTGCCCGCATTATCTAAAAAAATGTACTCATTTTTATTTGGCGTGAAAGTTTTTTCAGTGGACAGTAAACATATGTTTGTTTCTGCTGTCAGCGGTCAGTAATCAAATATTAACGCGAGTGTTTTATTTCCCTTGAGATTGGCTCATTGCTGGGCCGCATGGACATCGTATAAAGTTCACAAAACATCTTGTCAAATTTTCTGACGTAGCGGTTGTCATGTCCACTAGCCAATTCGAGCCAACACTCGTATGGCTGTCATGGTGCTTCATGGAGTTCAATATCCACAATAATCACCGGATCGACGCTTTTTTTTCTCTCTATATTTTCATTTAAGAACTTTTCTCAAACCTAAATTTCATCAACCACCTACCTTTAATATCAAACCTAGGGATAAAACCTGCGACGTTTTATCAAATTCCCAAATGAACAAATAGGATACAATATTCTGAGAGCAAATACAAGTCATCATGATGTAGCCTGCAATTTTTTTGTCAACTTTTTAGGACGCTTAAACCTGCTTCATTTGCATGCAAAAAACTAAGCACTTTTCCTTTCCGGCTTCACAACAGCAGCCCAGCAGCAGTTCGTGCTGACATCATCAGCGAAGCTCGTTTCCTCTTTCCTGGTTTCAGACTAAATTTATATAAAGCTATTAAATTTGCAAAAACATTTATACTGCCTTTGCATTAGGTATTCTAGATCCCAAATTTCCCAATCATAATCCAAAATTTCTCTCATATTACTTTTTAAACCTTATTAGGAAATCATTAATTTTTGGCATGATTTAAATTAAAACTCGTATAGTCAAAAGTTGTAGAACATATGTTTCACTAATTAATTGTAATTAGTAAAATACATATTCTCCCTAAATTATATTTGATATCTAATTAAGTAGGCTAGAAAAAATTTCATGGTAGCTATCTATAATTTATATAAATTTAACAATGTATAAAACCTACATGAACTGCCGTGCCTATGATGATTTCTTGTAACAGAATTTGATATTCACCTTAAATTAGCATACTTAAATGTACTTGTGTTACTACTGCATTGAGTGTTAGCTACTCAATAAAAGCGAATACTGTATAGTAAGAAGATAATAGCAGATCAATAATATTCTTGTCCAGAATTCTTCTCGGGAACCACTTTCTCCGCCTGCATTGCAGGACAGAACCGCCCGGATAACATTTGATCTTTATATCCCTTGCCCACACGACTGGTAGAGTTGCTGCATGCGGCCAAGCGACGATTGTGAGGCCCAGAGCATATAATTATTGTATTGGCTCCGAATATTTCTGATAATTATATTAAAAGTTAACAATTTTATTGATGGGTACTTTGATGATCACTGAAAAAAATTGAGTTTTTTTTTAATATTTCTGCTGCAAAACACCGTTCGAACTTAGGTGTATTGCTGCTGTATATATACTTTCACATGTCCTGGCCCACGTCATGAGAGCCAGCACCTGCTCTTGCACAAGCAAGAACAGATCATCTAGCAATCGCGAACCGGTTTTAGGTAGTTTCTTTGAGCACGAACGTTTTCGAGATGCATTATGAAGCTTTGAAGAAAATGATACGGTGCATCAAATGTTTCGAGATGAAAAAAGCTATAAAGTTTGAAAGAATGTTAAAAATCCAAGGAAGAATATGCTGTTTTATTGATATCATTATTAATTTTATAAATATTGCAAACAAATTTTTAAATTGATGTTAGGAAAATCATTAAAGCTCGCTATGATCAAAATGCAAATGGTCGTTCAAGCACTTAGTCTGATGGTTAAGCTTTTATTATTGAAAATTCTCTGAAAAAAAGGGGAAAGATGGTTTACCACAGCACTTGGCATTTGAGAATTGACCTATCCTTTCCGCTCTCATCCCTTGAGTAACCTTAACGGTACTTCTCTGGTCGTCCTATTTAAACGAAGAACTTTCTCCTGAACGCACCCTATGCACGCGGGCTGTCCGTTTACTTATTCAAGCCCAATACATATGAAGATCTTGAAATGCATATCTGCTAGAAATATCATAGGAGCAAAGGTAAATTAATGTTTTCTATATTGGAAGCGATGTCAGAATTTCTCCCATCAATTCATTCATCACCAATTATATAGTTTCAGCGGCATGATCCGTTTACCTACGAACATTATTTTAGATGGAGGTAAACATAGTTATAATTACAAAACTGCATTGTATTGTTTTTAAAATTTTTATCTTGGAACTTGATGTGGTTATATACTGAACACTCAAGCTTCTGAACCCGATGATACAATTCGTGATTCAGATCATCATTCACATTCCGAGCGATTCACTCTCATTTTTCACCATGCAACTAAAAGGCCTCGGCTCTAAAAAGTTACTTCGCAAAAAAAAGTTGCAGTACAAGCGAAAGCAACTCGTGCCCCACGCCGCCCAATCCCTTCGGCAAGAAGTTGTCCGGCGGAGTCGAAAGTTACACGAAGATCAGATCCTGCCTGGGCAGACTTGAGAGTGCCTCTCAGTCCAAGCTTATCATCCTTCAAGCTTGTTTCAGAAATGGATGCAGATAAAGTTACACAAAGTGAAGCTATGTATAATTAGAATCGTGAAGAACAAATCAATCATTAGCGAATGATGGTGATATGATTGTTTCGACGGACATTATTCATGTGAAAATGAGGAGTGACACTTTCATTATCGCTTGATGAACATAGGACTATTTCAATGTAAATTATTTGTTGATAAAGACGCCGCTCTCTGGAATTGATCACTTGTTCACGTCTCAAAAAAATTTTGCTTACAAATGCCATCATATGTTATGTACTTTTTTATGTTTGAATGAAAATATATGTTTGAAACGTTATGTGTGTGATAAGGAATTAAATTACTTCTGGATCATTCTACGCATTTAATACTCATCTTTGTTTTAAAAAGCTAAAAATTTTATTTTTTTTTCATTGATGCGCATGTTAAACGTGATTTATGTAAATTATATAAAAGTGGATTTTGGTATCACGAAAAAACTGTAGTTATATCATCCAGATATTATTTTGGTAGTAAAATTATAACAATTTTTCTGTTATCAATGCTTGTAAATTAATGTAAAGTAATCACGACGGAGATTGATGGTGGAGATATAACTGATGCATTGTTGTACACCATATATAAGACCCATGTTTGAGGTGAGTTACTGTATCTAGCTGCAGGTCGGTAAGTGAAGAAAATATAAATTAATTTACGAGGACTTCCGACAGGGTATATAAAATTATTTTGTTTTTATTATGATGAATTGTGATTTTTTTTTGCTAGAAAGAGCAAAGAGATACCCATAAAAATTATGAGTCTATTTTTTCAAAACTTCCTACTTAATTTATCTCACTTAAATCCAGATATACTTGGTCCTTGAAAAACCATATATAGTCTTTTATAGTAACCTCTTCTTCTCATTTCTTCTTAAGATGATTCAGACATAGTTATGGCAATACCCGTTTTTCCAGACACGTGAAATGGATACATGAATTTAGTAGTAACAAAGCCGTTAACAAAGGGTTCTTTATCCGAAGGTAACGTTACTATGCACTTCCTCTTTCAGTGATATTAAAAACTTTTTAATTGTATTTATACTCTCATTAATAAGATTGCTAGTCATTGTCTCCTATATTAGTTAATTATTCGTTTGTATGTCCCTTGATTTGATTGAGGAAGAAGTGGCATACCGTAGACACGTCGTCAGGCGGTCTAGGGGAGGTGTAGGTTTCCTCTGACGCTCATTATATTGGACTGCTGACTGGATTGGTGAAGTCTGCATGGGAGTTTCACCGGCAGCACATGAGCCCAGCGTCATTCCAGATACAGAGCTTTGTTTGCTCTCCCGTTATTATTAGTTTTGTGCTTGCAGTCGAATAAATTATATATCTGTTTAATAATGGCAGATCTCTGATTAATAAGCTTTAATTTCGTACGCTAATTTTTGCTCGCGAGTTTTCGCACGTACAGTACAGCCGATGTTACTTCATCACCAATATTCTCGGTTGATATTTTAGTGCTTACAAAGATTACCTGAAATTTAAATTAAAATTCAGAAAAGATGTCATCGCATCGTAATGCAAGCTTTATATTTCTTTCTTTTTCGCGTACATTATTACAACATGTTATTTGGCTTCACAAATTACAAGCTGCGATAATTTTTTTTTTTTTTCGAACTGATGTTTACGTCCAATATGAGTTGGCAAAATATTAACGGATAGTTTATTAGATATTTGCGCGCTGACGATGCCAATTCCAGGCAATGAAATTATTAGATCCATTCGTGGCTGTTACCTCACTGAAAATCATCACTTCATTGATCATATATTCATTTAGGACAATTTATCATTCACTTCTATCAATACGATAAATATTTTCGGTTTCGTTTCTAAGATAAGAATGTGGTTATTTTCGCATACACGCATATATTTTTGCAAATAAAGCACTATTTGCTAAAAGACTCGTTAAAAATTCGGTAATGAATTATTTACAATGAAATTTGTTTACCTGCATACTAATATATTGCCTGCACAGTATTGCATTTCATTTTCAAATGGTATTTATAATTAACCAAGAAAGGGCATGCCATGGAATTGGTCATCTAGCATTTCCATGGCAGGAGCCAAGAATATTATTTGAATGACAGTAAAAATTTACCAGGCGTTAAAAATAATTTAACAGCATCGAATTTTGATAAAATATTGTTCTTCTTTCAGGTATAGAAAAGGTTTCTATATCACGCATAGTAACTTTGGCAATCAAGTGGCTGAGCTATATAACTATTAATGAGCACGTCGTTTAAGCTGGGGCTATATTTTATTTCTTGTAAAACTTGTGAAGCGAATAATGAAGGTTAGATATTATTGAAGGATTGACCAGATGATACAGTCTGAGGGGACGGAATTGAGAAAAATTATTTATGACATGAGATGTGCGTCGTTACAATCCATCGAGACTGGAAAAAATTATATAAAATGATGCTTTCACTGGGTGATTTTTCTATTTTACAGACTTGTATGCAGTAATAAACCTCTTGTAACCATGAAACAATCTTCTAGATATTTTATTTCCTCAAATTAAATTCCTTTTATTATACTTGCTTTACATTTCACTATAGCACGAATTCTGAATTAGTGCCGAGAGTTACTTCCTATTGGTATAGTTCGGCACAGAAGTCCTTCCTTCGTGTAAATAAGCTTGATTGAAGACCAGAGAATGCCTTTTTCATACTTGCGTGAAAGAATACGTCCGCATATATTATTAATCCCTGCACTATTTAAATTGCTAAATGAAATACAAAGTGCCAGCGTTCACCTTAACAATGAATAGACGATTCACCTTAAGACGATTCTTAAAAACAATGAATAACTTTTAACGAAAATTCATTAAAAGATACTAAAATACATTTGATTTTGTATTCTTCTGAAATAAACAGAATTTCGTAAACTTATAAACGACTAATGATTTGCACCTTAAAGAAAAAACTTTAGAAAGAAAGTGGCAAAAACTTGTTTAAAAAACGAGAAATTTGTTTTATTCACATTTGTATTCATTTAAACTCCTCAATAAATTTTACAAACAATTGCCGTATTTTCTTTTTATCCGGAAGAAAATTAATTTCAATTAAATGCTGGCTTGCGGTAAAAGTTTGATAATAATATATCAAAATTAAGTTGCTCTTTCAGCCTCATTTGTTTATCAGCCTTTTATGAAATAATCAATTTGTTTACTACTGTCATTAATCACTACACAAGCTCGTTTTTCCTCCTCCTACACAAGTCTTATTCGAACTTCTCTATCAAATGACAGAGGCTCACTTTCTGGCTATAGCTTTCTCTGCCTCGCGAATCTGATTAATTGGCTCAATTATGCCATTGAATAATGTTCTGATTGTTTGGGGAAATGCCTCTCATCAAGTGAGAGTCTTTGCGTGCCTCTCGGATGGTCCTTTCGGTGTCTCCTAGTCGCAATAGTTGATGGAATCATGATCGTAATTAATATAAATAAAGACGCTGTAACAGTGCTGCAAACGTAGACCAAAGCTTTTAATTGAAATAATGCTGTGCTGGAATTGATAAAGTATCAATAATATACTTTATTGTTTACCATCGTTATAATATAAAGTTTTCCCACGCATCATTCGAGTCAAAGCGTGTTTTTTGTTTGGAAAAGTCCATAATTTGATCAAGGCTATACACGCTCGTATCAGAGTGTAAATTTTATCTTTTTAGTTGTAAATTCTTTGTCTTTGGTAACAAGCAGAAGCTTGCATAATAAAAATCCCATAATGATACGTCGCGAGTTTTTTTTCTTTAAGGGATTTATCTTTCCAAACTTAAGCATTTGGTACGGAGATGTTTCTAGTTATAATATTCCTATTAATAATATTTCATTTGAAAGAACACCCTTGTAATTTTCAATCGGCCAATTGAAATTGAGAATTTTAAAGGTGTCTCTAAAAAGTGAACTTCTTTAAATTAATAACTCTATTATTTCGAAACCTTAAATAAAAATTTCTTTTAATTTTTTCTTTGTACGAAAAGTCTTTGAGTTGAGTTTTGGCTATTTTCAGACCTTGAATGGCTTCTAAAAAATATGCATATTTCTACTGCATTCGAATTCATCTCAGCGCCGCCTCGCATTTTGAGGAATGCATGCAACACGTGACGGTGTTCTAATAATTATATACCAGGCGATCCGTATGGGCACGAATCTAGTGAAAGTTATCGGTATTTTGACGTGAATTGTATCGAGTTTTGACTCTCAAAAACTGAAAGTAACTTTCACCTACTGAATTCAAAGCAAGACTTAATTGTTTTCTACGTCAAAAAAATTCGAAGTGTTCTGAAATGAGGTCTTGATTAAGTACAAAATAATGTAATTAATCAAATTTGTACATGTACAAATTTGAAAAATAGTTGAATAAGTACATAAAAAGGCCCGTTGCTATACGTTTATGTGAAGGAACACTTACAATTGCTCAGGGCGCATTTTTGCATAAAACAACCACAAAAAAAAAAAACATTCTATGTTAGTGTTCGAGTTATATACCATTGATAAATATATCAACTTTGTTGATTCTACCTCCATACTGAGCCGTTGACAGTGCACAGCTTTTGTGCTCCCAGTCCGAGCGATGCAGAAGTATAAAACACCACAGAGCTGACAGATGTCACAGATGTCAGCTGAAGAGTAAAAGTGCGCTACTTGCAGCCCATCTGGAATGCAAGAACACTAATACAATGAGACACCCGAACTGTTTGTGCACTAAACTGAGTTCGCTGGCGATGTGTGGACTTGTTTTAAGCTGGTCGTCTAGTTTGGTTGAGTCACAACTCCACATCAATATGCCGTTTATGAATCAATAGTGTTCGTTGACGACGAAATTTTTCCGTTAAAAACCATCCTGACAAAACTGAATTAATGATGCTTGAACTGAATAAAAACTTCATGTTTCAAATCGTTGAGCGATTCAACGGCACCTGTGATGCTTTTGCGAACAATTACAAGTCAGCGTCATTTTACTGCATATTGCAGAGGCTTAAAAAATTTCTATCCACAGACGGAATTCTTAACTTGAGTTGCAAAATTTTTAATTATCGGTCTGATGAAGTAGATAGTTGGTTGATTTATATCGATTTGTACTTAAATTAATATGTACTTAATTAATATCAAATTATGAACTGTTTAATTCCATTTCAATACACGCCACTGCCACGAAAAGACGCGTGTTCTTAAAACCAATTCGATAGGCCAAATTTAAAGGATAAGCGATAAGTTGAAGTGTCCTATATATAGGCCGACCACGAGACTGTTGACACTTAGAAAGCACGACATCATAATGCAAGTCACACACAAACTGCGCCGTGCACGACTTGGACATTCATTTACCCTTTCACTTCCTAGCGCGCCGGTTCTTTTAAAGCAACCGAGCCTAACTTGGCATTGAGCCGATATGGAAGATTCCATCATGCATTTATTATGCCTTCAATTCTCCTTGCCGCGTTATTTGGATTTGGTATCGTCAAAATATTAGTTTCATTTATATATTTAATCATAAAATTGCCATGCTTTTTTTCAGGTACTATTTATATTTTATTTTGCGATGATGCCCTGTTTTCCAGGTTGCTTCTTTGAACTCGAAAATTTAGTTTACTGAACACAAACTTCCTACAAATTTTGTAATAGTTAGAGATATTTAAATACGGTCCTTTCGGTCATTTCATCTGTCTCTTCAGTTTTGTTCTGCGCCCGTATCCCATCAGGAAATCATTTTTAATGAGTGACTATCCTACTTTTATGTGAGATGCCTTTTTACCAGCATTATTGCTTATCACCACAGCCCTTCTCTTCGTTGCAGATGTTGAACCTCGCGTGGCTGCTGATGGCGCTGAGCGTCGCACGAGCAGACCATCCTCCCCCGGCGGCGTCTTATGGCGCTCCTCCACCGACCTATGGTCCACCTCCTGCTCCATCTTATGGACCACCTCCTGCTCCATCTTATGGACCTCCTCCGGAGCAGAGTTACGGGCCACCACCGGAGCAGAGTTACGGTCCACCACCAGAGCAGAGTTACGGACCACCACCAGCTTCGTATGGCCCTCCAGCTCCGACTTACGGTCCACCAAAAGCGACGTACACGCAACTAACTCCCATCTACCCAACTTATATACAAGCCGTTCCTGCCTACATCGTGCCAATACCTCATCACGAGGTGCAAGGTGGCAAAGGCAAAGGGAAAGGAAAAGACAAAGATAGCTTTTTCCAAAAGGTAGGCTAACTTGTGGGCATGTGCTATAAACGCAATCAATTTTCGCTCTGCTGTTTTGTTTACAAATTTTGCATAAATGAATTCTTAAATTAGGTATTGAAAAAATCACTGTTGCAAGAGTATGCAGGTCGATTGATTTCACAGCCTATCATGACGCTTGGAACAGTTTCATTATCTCATTTCAGTTCTCGATCTTTGTGAATTTTTATTGAAGAGCTCTCAGCTGTTTTGTGTCCCTTTCTTTCAACATTTCATCTCTTTGTAAAAATCTGTTTCACGCATGCGCACGCGTAAGCTTTCGGATCTTCTTGAAATTATTGATCCAATGGCTTTCAAATTATTTTTCAATTTTAATGCATATGCTTCTTTCATTTAATCCACTTCACCCTCAGCATGTGCCAAGATAGTATCAGCTCAAAATTAGTGAATCCTCCTTTCATTTAAAATGCTTTAATTTCCTTGCATTTTAGGTCACCAAGTTTCACGAATTAATCATGAACGGGATACATGACATAAAAACGTTTCATGCTAATTATAAGTCAAAGTCATTTATCAACCAATTCTATATATATATATATATATATATATATATATTTATAGTTCCACTTTACCGGACTTTAATTAATTTTTTTTTTAAATTGCAAAAAATATATAAAAAAAACTTGACCTGGCTGGACCTAACCTCAGTAAAACGGTCTCTAGCAACCTAAAGAAGGGTTTTAGACACTTCAAACCCTAACTCTAACCCTAACCTAACGAGGTTGGCGTTTTTTTGGTGTCCGGTAATGTAGTTCATTTATTTTCGTGTCCGGTTATTATACATAAATAAGTACTAGCGTCAATTACCGGACTCGATTTTTGTCCGGTTTTGTACCCGATGTCCGGTAATGTAATATACAAATCATTCATTGCACATAATAAAATTGTTGAAGAAAATCTATCCATTCTTCTATCAAGGAAAAACATTTTCAGATGAATATCTGTTGTATCTATTAACACAAAATCTTTACTCCAGACTTTAACTTCGTGAGCGCCATGCTACTTAAGATTCTGATTTCTGTCTCAGCCTTCGATGGAAAGCTCGGGGAATGTTTGCAGGAATTTGGGGCTCGTACTGTTTTTTATTTAAAAAAAAACTTCATCTCTAAATTTCAACCAATAAACATCCTTTTCCTGTCAGCAATTTTTTCAACGCCTTTCAACCTTTATGAACACAAACATTCAAAATTTGAAATTTATGCTTGCTTCTAAATCGAATCCTCAAAACTGTTTATTCACGTTCAATAACATTTCGTTTTCAAAATAAAACTGTAGGCAAATTCAATGTAAGAATTAATTTTCAAACCTACACGGCAATGTCCGTTCACCCGAGTGCCCATCCTTGGCCCCGACAGAAAGGCAACAAATACTATTTTCCTGAAGAAATTCGTGAAAAGTTCCAGGAACTTAAGGACGCCAAAGAATACATCAAAGTGGGCCTCAATAATATCAAGAGCAAAATTCTGGAGTGGAAGGGACGTTTGAAGAGGGCCAAAGGCGCTTTCTTTGCGGACAAAGGAGAACAGCTCATCGATCAGGCCCTTGATCTTTACACGCCGCAAGAGGGCAAGGGCAAAGGAAAGGGAAAGGGAAAAGGCAAAGGCAAAGGCTTTGATGACTACGAAGACGGTTAGTGAAATTAACTGTATTTCACACAATTCTACACAGGACTTTACAGGCCATATTATAATTCATGCTATCCATGCTGTAGATTAGGAGTGAAGATTTTTCTCCAATTATAATATAAGTGGCACTTTCATGATTGCATCAGGTGTATTATGACTTCTCAGAAACATTTTATAGGAACAGTTATTTTTGCATGATTTTTGTTCAACACGTATAAAAACAAAGTTTTTCGCCTGAATGATAAATCATTATCAGTAATTAATGTTCACCAACGTTATTGTCAACTGTTGGCTTCTTCATGTCATGCATTTGCAAAAAGATTGGATTTTTTTAAACTATTCAGTTCCTATTTTCCCACCACTGTCGTTAGTAGGGAAGCAGCAAAATTTTTAAGAGCTAAACTAGAGGCCTAAAATTAAATCACGCGAAGAGCTTCAGCTAGAAAGTCTTTGAGCGGCATGCGCTGCCATGCAGATGCCCAGCATACAGAAGAAAGCGCGCGGAATTGTCGATGATCTCTCGTTTGTAGCTCGCTCGCTACAGACCATAAGGTCGTTTCCTTTCGGTTTTCAAGTTCACTCTCGCCCTTTAAACTAAAATTGTTCATTATCGCTCCCACTAACCGTTTGAGTGCTGCCATTGAGATCTCGTGCATGTAAGGGAAATTTTTTAGTCAGTAGTCGAATTTGCAAAGCAATATTCACGTGAATGTGATTGAAAAATGTCATCAATTCGAATTGTTCAATAACATAAGCAACTTGTATATTTAGTTACAACTTATTTAATTATACGTCATGCTCTGTTGGTTTCAGTAATAGTGTGTTCTATCTTTGCTGACCAGTGTTTAATTTTAGGCTACAAATTTTTCATTCGTGCAGAGAGCTCTTACGGAGGCTACGGATACGGTCCCCCATCTAGTGGATATGGTGCTTCAGAAGGCAAAAGTAAGGGAAAGGGAAAGGGTAAGGGTAAAGGAAAAGGAGGTGATGATGTTGATTATTCTGGATATTATGATAATTATGGAGAAGGGAAAGGAAAGGGCAAAGGCAAAGGGAAAGGTAAAGGTTCCTCGAAAGGAAAAGGAAAGGGAAAAGGTAAAAAAGAGCCAGAAGTAATAGAAGAGCCATACCCTGCTCCAGTGGAAAAGCCAAAAGCGTCTTATGGGCCTCCACCTGCGCCATCTTATGGGCCTCCACCTGCACCATCTTATGGTCCTCCAGCTGAGCCTAAACCTTCATATGGACCCCCGGCCGAGGAGCCAAAAGGTTCTTATGGACCTCCACCAGCGCCATCATACGGCCCTCCACCTAGTCCTCCACAACAGTCATACGGTGCACCACAGGCCAGTTATGGCGCCCCAGCACCAGTTGAGTCGAGTAACTATCAAGTATTCAACCATGATGATAGTGAACCTCTCGCTCCGTCCGCACCTCCATCAAGTGGGCCTACATATGGAAATGGCGGTAATGACGAAGGAAGAGGCATTGGACATGCTTCAGAAGCTGTCAGTGAAGAATATGGGCCACCTAAAACACATGACGTAGTTGAAGCGTCAAAGGAAGGGTATGGATCTGCAATAGGCGTTGGAGTTGGAGGAGGACCTATTTCAGATGATGGTGGTAACGGTGGTGGAGGTGAAGTCAGTATTAATTCCAATGGCGGTAATGGAGGAGGTACTAGTGGTACGACATATGGTGATGGAGCTGTTGGGATAAGTCCAACCGTACAGAATGGTGGCTCGTTCGCCGTTGGCGGATTCGCAGATTCCGCAGCACTTGACGACATCGAGGAGGGCCCGTCGTCTTACGCAGCATTACCTTCAGTTCAACATTCTGTTTACGTTCAAGGTGGGGTTTTGGATTTTTTTTCGAGCATTTCTGAATGCTTCGACTGCAAGATCAATAGGGGTGCCTCACTAACACGGAATGGAATGCGTGAGTGTATCTATGAAATGTATATATAAACGATCCAAGTTCAGCATTCATCCAACGATATCCATAAATCCTGTCATTTTTTGGTGAAATATGTTATGCAGTTATGGAAGCTATGGAAAAATTAGGCCATGCATCAATCATCATAGCTTGCATCATTTACGTCGGCATTATGTAAATATAATGTTCATGAAATGTAATGAGGAAGGTATTTGAGGAGTAGAAAAATCCAAACATCCACAGTCAGAAACTCCAAGTATCCAACATACGAGCATCAACCTCCTCTCTGGATATCCAAGAAGGCAAATGATATACTTTTTGAGGCAGAACCATAGTGCATTCGAACTGTGAAATGGAATAAAGTGTTCAGTATTGTGCGCGTTATGTAAAGCGTGGTCTTATTATCAGGTATTCGTAGAAAAGTACATCAAAATCATCTCTTTTTTGCGCTCAATTACTTCCAGTAGGAGCTGGTACTGGCAGCTTGACTTGTGTTCTTCATGGATAGTGACGCCATTCGACCAATAAATAACGATTAAAATTATTTAACATTATACTGATGAAACTAATTAATTTTTTTATTAGTCATGTATTTTGAGTCGATCATCCTTCATTTCAGTTAACGTTCGAAAACTCTTCTACGCCTGATGCTTCTTCTACACTGCATCCAGAAAATTTCTGGAATTCATTTTGCTCATTTTTGAATGATACTTATGGCAAATTAAATCTGTTTCATTTTAATCTATTCAAACATTTTCAGTGTTCATTTGAACTAAATCCTGAATGGGTTAATTTCTATTTTAATGTACAAATTTCATATTTTTCGCTTTGCGCCCTTAATCTCCCTATTCTCCCTATGCCAGCCACCAGAAAAGCTTAGAAACACTTGGGCTCTATTTATACACAAATAAACATAATTCATACACTTTTCTTTTTGGGTGTATTTTTAGGCCATTGGAACAGTCGAATTTGCAGAATAGCGTCTATCTTAACACAATTCTACTCCATGTACTTTTCATGCAAGTTCACACCTTTCGTTTCCTTTACTCACGACATCAATCGTTAAATCTGTTCGATATTGCATGTAACGGTTAAACGTTGGAAACCAAAATGTATACACGTAAAAAATTGCCAAAATAGTGCTTAAATGCCAGACTCTGCAAGTGCGCGGAATGTCGAAAAAGAAGCTAATAGGGGGCCAACGTGATGTGTAAATAATAATAACCCTTTAAATATATAAATCTCTGTTAACTAAATTTCCCATGAAAACTAAACCGTTAATCCCTAACTGCTCCCAATAATTGTTGCGTATTTTGATATATATATATTATGACATGATCACTTGCCGTGAAACTGAAATATTAGAGCACTCGTATATATAATTGAAGAGAATAAATTCAATTCTGTAAAGTTATCTTTCGTAATAACTGAAAAAATGTATGATAAAAAATGAAAGTAAATTTGAACTGCAATTGCGCGAAACTCGCTAACGCGTTACCGAAACGCAGCGAATGGACGGCGCATTAGATCGCCCAATCGAAGAAGAGACTCGAGTCAACAACCTGGGCTCGCCTTCTACAGCTTCGTTCCCACCCACTACGGCGAGTCGCCCCTGAGACGAGTACGGCGCGACGGTAAGCATCCGTCGGCTTCGTCAAGCTTCGAAAAATGTCTCCAGACTTCATCCATATCAGTCATTAAAAAGCGAACACTTAACTATTCATCCGCGAAGACTGACGAAACACATGTCATTAACTGTGGAAATCAGTTATGGATTAGCTTCAAAAATTTAGCTTACAATTATTGTAGAATAAGGCCACTTCCAGAACTCACGTCTTTTGAAACGGCAGTAAATTTTTCGACAAAATTTTATTATCTTTAATTTGACATCGATGGAGCGATGCGAACTCGATGCAATTGAAATTGCGAAGATTTTTGCCGTGTTTTATATTGCGAATTTCATCATTAACTGATTATAATGGATCAGATATTTGATTAAACTATGGCAATCAGAGCAGTAGTTTGCAAAATTAATTTTGTTCATGAACCAAAAATTGAATGACTGCAAGTGAGGTAATTTTCCGCACCTCATTTTCTTTATCAAACAGTAAAACCAGGTAAAATGAACGCAAAGTTTTTGCCCTGCACTGTCTCAACCCGCTGTTTACATGTAGGCTCATGTTTCTGGTCTGTAGTTGTGCATAATATTAGCAACGCTAAATGCATAGATCGGCAGCAGGTTCAGGTGTATTATCCAGACTGGACTTCACGCTAGCTCATTAAAGGCATTAGCTCATGGCATCAAATAAATTTCATTTCGCTCTATTATGAGGAATTAAAAGAATTTTCTGAAACCAATCCCGTCTTATTGATAAGTGATGATGAATTTTACAAAAAAATATTGTAGACATTCCACTGATTAAATATCTGAATGTCTACTAATATAAAATTTATTTCAGAGAGCACGTATTCCGCTGTTCCAACCGGTGAAGTGCCGGTATCATCTGTGCATTCGCCACGTCTGTTCAACGTGGCATCGACTAGATTTGGACTTCCTTTCCTTGGATCCAATGGTGAGCAGCAAAATATTCGTCTAGCCATGCAGGCTGGAGCGTCACAACTTCCTGTTATTCCATCTTACATGTCTGACCTGACCATAGGAGTGGAGGAACCTAGCCTAAATAAGATGCAGGATGCTTCTAACAGTCAGTTTATGACGCTGCCTTCTTCTACCCATCATCGGAAAGTTGCTATTGATGGCTTGTCCAAATTCTCTAAAAATGATGACCAATCAAACACGGAACTCGACCTAACTAACCCAGATACTGACTATGGAACTCCAAAGCCAATTGACATTGTGCATGATGGACTAAATTCTGCAGGGTTTCTTAAAACTTTTATGGGTGACGATGCTTTCATGAATAACAATGTTAATGAAATATCAATTTCAACCCATCGCCATCCTAAATCGATGTCGTATCTATCTGAATCCGTTATAAATGTTGACACAAAAAGCGGCTTTCAAACAGATGAAACTCCGGGTCCACAGTTAAATTTTCTGACAGAAATTTCATCACTTGAAAAAGAAGCTCCTGCCCTTTCATCTTATAACACAAATCAAATGATCCCTGTTCCAGTGCCTCTTAGAGTGATTCCAGCCGGTTTAATCTTGCCAGCGAACGATTTTCCCGCCAGAGGAGTATCATCGTATTCATCTTATAATCCCTTCCCTGATGTCATTCAGTTCAAGGGTAAACATCCACCAGTTGGTAGCGCTTCGTATGCCCCTCCTAGTAGAACCCCTCGACTGCGACAAACTTCTGGGCTTTCTGTAAACGGCATGTTTCCTATTCAATTGCCGAACATGCAGTCTTCAAACTTGATGTTTCCTGATCATAGTTTTAAACTTGCTCCTATAGATACTATGTTAGATAGTAGTGGTTCTTCTATCACATCTAATTTAGCTATCAGTAGGAAACCTACAATGAGTTCATACTCGGACATTTCTCAAAGTACGTCGTTCACTCAAGAGTCTCAACGTAGTCTAGATTCTCAAAGCATGAATCAGATTCGACATCTCTCTCAACTCACCTCATGCAAAATGACCGGTACTCCATCTTCTTTTGGAAATTCGATTTCCGTGACCATATCACCACAGAATTCCAGAGACAATCCACTAACTATCATGAAAGTTCATTTGAATGAAAAATATGCGCCTGGCCTATTTAGTAATTCATCACCAACAATTGATGCCTCATCGCACTCATTTTTCCACACATCAAAAACTAACAATGATAGAAGTGAGAATATTAATGACTATAAAGGTGGGAGATTTCAGGTGTCCGAGAAGTTTCGACACATGAAGCGTGAAAAACCGACACCGATTTCTAGCAGCGAGACTAACGAACAACCGGAACGAAATATTTCTTATGGAAACGGTTGGGAAATTATATATGGGGAACCTGCACATAACATAGCTCTTCCTATTTCAAATAACCAACAAATAAATTTGCCAGTAGCTTCACACCTTAAACAAATCTCTGAAAATGAAGAGAAGCATCCCGATGTGGATGGCATAAAAATTTCTTATGGTATGCCTAGACCATACACAATTTTTTCCGACGACGAACTTGCAGATTTCCGAAGCAAATCTTTCGCTCTACGCGTTAAACCTACTTTTGATCTTTTCCAAAAGAATATTGGAAGTAATTTAAAGAGTCAGAATCACAATAAACCGAATGACTTCATGACAACCGATATGACGAGCGAGCTCATAGACGTTGGACCAAACAATAAGCCGAAAACAGTATCAAATTCATGGTCAAGTTATTCATCTTACCAACGTTCGAATTCATCCAAAGCATCACCTGAGTCACTTCCGAACAATATTAAATTAGAATTTCAGGAACCGCTGATCAATTTAAGAAATAACCTTAGGGTTATCGACTTGCATAAGTTACAAGATGCTAGAAACCGTCTGGAATCCATTGGGATGCATGAAGGTATGAAGCTAAATGATGGCTGGGCCTTAACTGATACAACTTCAGGAATTTTTAGCGTGCCAAGTGCTGTGGCTATAAATATTAATTCTCAAACAGAGCGCCTATCTAGAACTGCTGACAGAATTGGTGCAGATTTTCCTCCTAAGAACACGAATGACCGTCTTGTTGGTGGATTCATTCGAACTGTAATAGGTAATGCTCCGTCGTCGCCAGCTCCTAATAAAATTTCAGTATCAAATGAAACCCAAAACGGTATTACGCTTAGCGATTTAAATAATGGTGGAAATAATATAGTTTCGCCGCCAGTGTTGAACACAATCATTCATTTGACGAATTTAAAATCCGTTGAGAGTTCAGAGTTTGATAGCGGACCGCTGAGTCGGTCCAGGGTTCTGAAAGTAGTTGAAGCTCCAGATCTGTCGAACGTTCCCACTGGCCAGGCATTCCCAAATGGGGTCAATGCTATTTTGACGAGAGATATTGTTGATAAATCCCGAGCAATTCCAGAAATAGTGGTAATAAAATCAGTATCTATTCCGTCCTTCTTCGCTGAGAATAACATGCTCAATAGTTCATCAGTTACCGTGAAAGACTCCCTTCGCTTTGGGACTGACTTGGTGCATGAGGCCAGTGAACTTTTCGTTAGACGAGATGACGCCTTCAAGTCTTCGAACTCTCCAAAAGCAGCTCGGTTATTAAGTGAGGGAAATTTTGCAGATGATGTTCTCATGAGTGTTTCTTCGATATTGAAAAGTAATTTCATCGCTAAAAACTCGAGTTTTGCGGAAGAATATTTTCCCGATTCGAAAAGAAATGACTCGCTACCAGTAATAACAAATAATTCTACAATTGATGAATTGGGATATTTTTCGACAGAACCTCCTCCATTCCTTAATATAACTAGTTTATTCGAGCCCGTAAGTTTTAATTTAACTCAAAGCTGATTCATAGATGTACATTGGAATAAACCTTAGCGAGTGAATGAAATAAATTTTTATATATGTGAATGCAGTATAATCATTAAGTTCTAGTATAATAAAAAGTGTGTTATTTTATGGTCCGTGACGATCACATATTCCGACTAACTCATTTTTCTACCGTGGAACTCTGCTCTCCCCTGGACTCGAGTTTGACTCCGTGACTTAGGTAATTTGTATACGAAAGTTCCAAGCACATTAACGTAAATGTATCGCACCGACAAACTTCGTTACCTTTAATGTATTAAAGAGATTACTGAGATTTTTAACAAGAAATTGTATTTAATTTGACGCGATCTTGATTACATTTTTGCAATACCAATATCTTGAGATCTTGCAATATCAATATAATACAATAATATCTTGAACGCTTTTTGCAATACCACGCAGCCGACTGCACAGTGTATATCATTTTATCGTCACTTGCACTGAATTGTTCACATTGTATTTATGAACTGAAAATTTCTCGTGCTTTTTATGAAATGCTCACTAGCGTTTGCACTCAAAACTGTAGATTACTCATGTAAATTTTTTTCATCATCGTCATTTTCGCAATCAGAAAATCATTATTCCCGACACAATATCTATGACGAAATTTATCATGCTATATCAATTGTACAATGACTGCTTGACATGAACGTAACTACGCATAATCTTAGTTCGTCAAGATGAGTTTTCAGCAAATTTTTATGCTTCACTGTTTGATTTGGATTGAGAGTTTTCAGGATCATTTCTCCTCGCTATTTAGAACTGTACTGCGCCTCGGATAGCTCATCTAAACTGAAGCCACCTCACTGAGTTGCAACATCCACCCTGATAAGAGATAGTCTATTAATTTCACCCTGGGAGTCAATGGTACATAACGTTGGTCGCTTAGCGACCCTAGAATAACTCCATCACTATGGTTGTAATTTGATGTGCATGTAAATCTTCCTCTTCTCTTTATTTTCATTAAAGTAGATTTAGTACGGTATTGTTGTATATATGTTGAATTTTTTGCTAAGTTTAGTGAACATCTGAAACGTCGAATTCCATATGGGGAAATTCAAGTTTCAGTATAAATGATAGCGGGCCCTTGCATTGGGGTGCATATAGAAGTGCATGATTAGCATATACATAAGTATATTTGCTGTAGTGCAAAATTATGCTGGCTGGTAAGTTCTTTAGTCATTTTTCAGTAAGTAAACAACAAACTTCTCATGGTGTTGTCGGTGCTGTATATTTCGGCTGATTATCCTTGTTTGGGAATGTAAAATAGATTTTTCGATTAGGTTTTGTCAAAATTTCTCTTGATCTGCATCGATGGGTATTCCTGAAGTTCTATCAATATAATTTGATCAACCAACAAAGTTTAATCAAAAATTGCATTTGGAATATTTGTTTACAAATTTTATAACGAACTCTCCAACGACAGTATTTATTCTATTCAGAAACGGGTTAAATTTTCACAATATATTATTTTCATATGCACTTTCATCTTGTACCTTTAGAAATTCAAGCATAATCTATCCTTCATGCTTTAATTTGAAGTTCATTATTTTTTCGACCCTGAGTATATTGGCCGTATGATAAATATGAGCATTACTTCATTCACCCATAATTCGGTTCATTTTATCGGCATTTGTCTTTCAAGTTTAAACAACTTTTGGGACTAGTAGTACAAAACTCCTTGTTATTAAATTACAATTTAACGATTTTTCTTTCCTCCTACAGGCAATTATCGAACTTAAGACCCTCCCTCCGTCGACACACAAGTCGCATTTATGCGACGAGTTTGATTGTCCCAGTCGATGCAGGTTACGGGAAGTCCCTCAGCTAATGAGTGAAGCGTGAACAATTAATTGTTAATGTTGATGTTTGTATGGTATAAGTGATTCTACTGCAACCAGGTGTTTATTTTCGTTTGTGGATGTTGCAAAGTTACCATTGTTGATTGTTTTAAAAAAAGAATCATTAGGTAGAATAATTGTTGAAAGTAATTGAGCAATTTGTGAGATTCTTTTGCGGTAATTACAATGTGACGCTCGCATTCAAAATGAAAATGTTATAGACGAGATTAAGATAGTTAAAATTTTACAATATCGTCTTTTACAAATCATATCCCAATTTATATACTGCTATACTTGAATATTCATACTTGCCTACTGCGTTGAAATTTATGTTGAATTTACCGGTATACTTTTTTTATCTAGATTTTATGTTCGAATCGAGATTGGCATTTTTAATTTTGAAAATTTCAGAATAATAATTATATTAAAGGTCAATTTTCACGGTGATGAAATTTAACGATCTTCATTGATCGATGCTTATTTTCATTGATCACGGCTGACTTGTAACTTAACAAACTTACGCTCCAACTACAATAATAATATACGAATAAAATTAAGTAATGATAATATTGGCATCTATAATTCTAATTAAAAGAAAAATGAAGTGGGAAATGTCAGACGTAGGAGCTAAATGATCCTATGTTATAATGTTCTTAGAATAGTTTTCTAGGAATATTTTAACGTAACATTTGATGTTAGAGGTTGCAATGTAAATATATTACTTACCAGATCGAAGAGTTTGATGAAAAGTGTTCCATCTTTATGAGATTCTCCCTCTGTTTAGGCGTCAAAAATGTAAAAGCATTTTCCGTTTTTAAATTTCAATTTTCTGAATTTTATTATTAATTCTTTGGTAGTTGGATTTTTCAAATGATGTACTTCATATTCGTCCATGTTTTTTAAGAAGTTCAATGCAAATTTTTGTGTAATTATTCATTTTTTCCTCAATTTCCAAGCAGTCGGTATGAAATGAGCCCTATGAATCGTCAGTAAACTCGTTTTTAAATTAATTTGTGTTTTATTCGCGTGTCTCGACTGACGACTTTAATTAAACCTCTGGCAAGAAAGTCTTCTTATAAAAAACAGTACAGTGGAAGACCTCCCTCTCCTTCCAGCGTCTTCGCTAAGATGTCGTTACCAAACATCTATTATCCCTATGTAAAATTATATCATTCGTCACTTATTCTATACAATTATATCATTCGTCTCATACCAATCATTCGTCACTGAAAGTCACTTCTGAGAATAATGAGAGCATTTGATGAAAGGTAGTATAGCCTGGCACAAAATTTATGCTAATTCAGATAATTTTTTCTTTATTTATTTATTTTTTTTATGGTACAGTTATCGATATATCTCTGAGCAATATACAGTAAGTAGCGTGAAACATAATAAACATTGCAGTAGGTCTCTCTTAAATTATCGTAATAAATTTTATACAATTTAAATTATTTTGAAGAACATGAAGTGAAGAGAAAACATAATTTGTAACATCATGAAAGAACAAAGTCAACAGAGAAGTTCACAAATGAATCTATTGCAGACTTATTACTATTTTGTTCTGGCCGTGAAAATGAATTATTTAGTCATATCCGTTAGCGAGAACGAAATTTTTATAACAGTTACAGAGACTTCAATAAATATTATTGTTGAGATTTGAGAGGAAAAATTGGTTTATCTGAATTGGAGTTTTCCATCAGGATAAACTGGGTTCGCAAATACGAAATGCCTGACTTATATTTTTTGAATTAGTGGTAAATATTACGCGTATATTACGTTTCTTAAAACTTTCGGGGTTGAAAATTGGTCTATGAATGTAATAATCGCAAAGTAGATAGAGATGGTACACGACTTTCTGCGCTTTAATTGGTTTTGTAGCTGTAATTTAATTTGTATATAATTTTTTTAATTGCGGAGGACTGTTATTAGCACAAAGAGGTAGGAGGCAGCCTTGATCAAACATATTTTCAGAAATATACATGAGCTGAATAAACCTAGACATAACGACACGGGACACCAACACGTAGCGTTCCGAGACGCTCAATCCGAGACTCAATCCGAGTCTCGGATTCCGAGACGCGCAATCCGAGTCTCACACCATCAGTATCCACTATCTAGCTCGATAGACTCCAATTTATCTGTTCGACAAATAGTTCAGCTTAACTGAAATAAACATTTCTTGGGGGAAACCAAAGAATGCTTTAATAGTTATTCAGCGAATTCATTTCGATGCGAATGGAAATGGTTGAATTGTTGACCCGGAGCCTCAGTTTGATTTAGTCATGCCACAAATTTAAATTTTTTCTATTCATCAAGAATGAAAATGTATTTGCAGTGACATTAGTAAAACTATGGCTCACACGATAATCGGTATACATTCTATATTAATAATTCATAATTTTGTGGCTTCAACGTTAATTAGGCCGTAGGCCTTTCGCCGATTCTCATTATCTCAGAATGTTCACAGCTTGTTGGGGTCACAAACGCACTGCTCCAATTTTCTTTGCTTTGCCTCCTCGCCGATTCTGGCCAGAAACTGGTACACAGAGCTGGGGTCGAACCATGGGGGAGCGCAGCCGTGCACCACCAATTTTGTACACCACTAAGCCCTGAATCGAACGCCTTGGCTCTCTCCGGACCTACACCAATCAGCCGTGCACCACTCGGCTCTGTCCTCTTCTTGACCACCACCTGCCGTGCGCCACCAGGCCGCAGATCGAATATGACTTCCGGGCATCGTTAAATTACGTAATTTTACGTTCACCGCATCTAAGGTTAGGTTTCACGTAGCATAGTTCTGTTGAAAAATTTATCCTCCTTCGACAAGTGGCCGTTCGACCGATGGCTGGTTCGACACACGGCCTAGATACGGACGGCTTGAAGTGTTGAAGGCTACGTTCCGGAAGGCAGGAATCATGATGGTCCATTACATCCAGGGCAGTGGTGGTCTTCGGCAGGCGACCCGAACCATGGTTGAATAGTATAAGGTTGACCCATCAGAAGCCCATTTTTGCGGATGTAGTTCGATGTTCGCCTGTGACGTCACTGATCTCAGTGACGTCACGGGCATTAACCAATCACCGAAATGCGATCAAACCAGTCAATCAATCCGTCATGGGAATGACGGGTTTATTTACGTTTCTCGATCTACGTGACGTAACAAGAAAGCTGAACTGAAAGACGGAACTTCTCGCGGGTCAACCTTATAGGGTCGAACACGCACCTCTTTTCAAACTAATTACTCGGAACTGTAACCACTGGGCCACCCTGCCCCAACCAAATTCTCAAATGGACGGTTTAGGTTCGAGCCAATATGCTAAAGTTGAGTAGGTTAAAATTATTTAAATTGGAAAACGTAAGCCATTGTCTGCTAAATTTGTCTTCACAAATAGCCGCAGGCCAAAATCACGAACCTGAATTTTAATTAATTTAATTATACAGTCATTCCCTTCTTATTGCATTGAAATTTACCATTGAATTTTTTTTATATAATGCTCCAAGTTTCCAATTCGAGCTTGAATCCATGTAATAGTCAGCAGCAACTAATTTGCGCTCATTTTTGTGGACGATGACGGTGCTGCTGTGGAAATAAAGCTGTTTTTCAGATCACAGCATCATGATTAGAAAGAGTGCTTGCGTTAATAACAGGTTTCAAACAGTTATTTTGCTCGGAATTCTTGAGGAATGTCCATTAATTGAGGAAATTGAAGTTTCAATGTTCGACATCTTTGTCTACTGTACAAATCAGACTGATCAAAGTAAGCCAGCAGAAATCTTAAACGTGAGCCAACTTGAATGTCCAACGCAAGCTGTTCCAAACTCAGTGCGAGCCAAAATCCACTTATGATTCATGGGCTATGAATTTTGTATGGTCATAAATTTTCTCCCACTAGTCGTAAGATGCGAAAAGAGAAATCACGAAGAACCCCGTTAATGCAGAATTTGTAACATACTAGGCTCCGGACACGAATTAACCATGCGGAACCCTATTGACGTTCAGTAAAATTTTCAACATTAGTTCAGTGTTGAATTAGGCACGTGATCAGCATAGTCGGAACTCGGAAGTGTGTGTGCTATATATCCGGGAGGCACCTTCAATATTAGAAGCCTGATTTCCAATATCCAAGTTGTCAATGGAGAAAAAAAATGTCGTCATTGTTGACTCACAAACAAATTGTTTAGTGATTATTAACCGAATTCGTGTTTGTCCGCTTATATAAATGATGACCTATTGACCTATACCATCAGTGTGAAGTCAATCAGCTGAATAACCTTAAGATAAGAGCTCGTATTTGAAGTCTAGTTTAGTAATTACTTAATGATTAGTAACCCGATTATTAGGGTGATTATAATGGAAATAATAAGGGAGCCGTTGTACAACTACTACCGTCAATGACATATTGGCCGCCATGCAGATACTACACTTACTTCTCCGCCCATTACTAAAAATCGTATAATGCTAGTCACAACCAATATTTGTAGGGTTTGATAACTACATGACGACTACGAAGCTGTTTCGCTCGCGCTAGAAAGATTAGGTTCAGTTTTGTTATAAAATAGATCGTTACGATTAATTCTGTTGCTGGCCGGCGACTTGAGTGTTGTGATAAGGTTATCGGCATTGCCGGTAGTACATTCTTGGTTTGGATTAGATTTCCGGTGGAAGAGCACTGCCACATTGTTCTGGAAACATGAAAAGTGTGTTGCCGAAGTGAATAGAGTAGCATGTTGCCTTAGAAATTAGGTATCCAAGCAATATTTAACCTGTTTTCGTTCTACGCGGTAACAACTTTAAAATGTCTTCGTTTAAATGAAACGGTATCATTATGTGTATCACCTACGCGCATAAAATTTAAAACTATTTTAGGTTCTGTTATAATTATTCGAGTTATGCCCTATGTTCAAAAGAGATTTTTCGTACCTGAAAATTCACCTCAAGGCTCAAACGGCCGGGGATTAACCAAACATTCCTCATGATTTTTTTTAAAGGGCCCGCTGTAAATAAATTCTGTTGCAGCAAACTACATCAGAATAATTTTGTGTTCATTTTATTTCTTCCAGACATCGCTTCACCTGCAGTTTATTTAAAGGGTTAAATTTTTAACGAAGAATATGATTAATTTTGACATATATAAATTTGTGATGATAATATATTGAAAAGCTCGTAGTGAGTGTAGGATCTGGATGGATCAATGTGTGTCTCTTGTCTAGTAACTTCTTTGTTAATACGAATAGAAAAAAGATTCCTTGATCAATCCAGAAAAATGGTATAATTTGGTGCAGATGAGGATGTCTTTCTATAAAAGTAGCAGTAAGCTCAACAAATACGCAAGCCCGCCGTATACTAGGGATTGTGCGCCTTTCAGCCCACCCCTAAAGGTGAGTCCAAAACTTCAATGTCTTTTCATCAAAAATTTTTAAAACCCTATTCGAATCGTCGAAGCGTGCTTGAAAATTACATAGTACAGTCCTTAATATTTGTTGTTGTAATTGCACCCTTCTATTCTGATCAGACATGTTTTACGTAGCACTCATCATCTGCCGTAAATATTGCGTCGACATAATTATTCTGGAACACCACGTCTGGCTCCCACATCGCCATAGCGGGTAACCACTTCGCTCACGAGCCGCACTGCACCTGTCGCTGAAAATGAGTTGCCAGTAGTCGCAAGACCAAATTTCAGGAATCAGTTCATAAAAAAACGACAATTTTCCTATATGTAACACTTGGAGTTAGATAATTCGAGACAGAAGATAAGGTTTAGTATCTGAAATTTTAAGAATATGCGTAGAAAATTATTGAGCAAGTTTTCTTCAGTTCCGTTTTGTAATTAAATTATCTCTAATTGTTGATGACGCTCTTTAGACGAATTAAGAATGTAATATTGCCCCGATTAATTAACTCAGATTTCACAGTTGAACACAAATGAAAATTGATGTGGAATCTTATATATAGTGAAAGATTACTGTTCCTTATAGCCTAAAGGCATTTCAAAGGGAAAATGAATTA